CAACAAGGGGCTGCCATTGGGCCTTGCAACATTTGTTTTGCTTTGCTGCACGGCGCACACACAAATGAAATGCGCGTTTAAATGAAAAATATCTCAAATAATTATAATAAATACTTTTTGCAACTCCCGCTTCCTGCCCTGCCCTGCCCTGCCCACCCGCACTGAGCCCAACTGCCTGTCAAGCCGAGTGTTTTTCCTTATTTGTTTCTTTTCGTTTGTTTTGGGTCTGCGCAAAAGAAGGTCTTGGCACAAAATGCGCTAAAAAACTTTCCTTTTCACACACACACACACACACACACACGCACACTCTGCTGTTGAAAAGGAAAATTTAAATTAAACTGATTTGTTGCTGTTGTCGCTTCAATATTTGCTGCTGTTGCTGCTGCTGCCTTCTGCTTGACAGCTTTTTTATGCTTTTTTGTGGTTTTTCACTTTTCATATTTGGAATTTCATGTATTTTGCATTGTAAATTGTAAAAGCCAGCTGCAAAACAGTTAACGCTCATTTTAGCCGCATATTTTGTGTGTGCGTATAAAATAAACCCGAAGTGCAACCGTTTAAGCCATGGCTTTTGAATATTAATCATACGCAACGTTGCACGCCTCGCACACACACACACACACACACGTCTAATTGCCGCGGGTGGCCACAAATATGCAAATCAAATTAATTTGTTGCTTATTAGTTTGACCCACTGTCAACTCAAATTGCAGCAGGCAATCAGCCCACCCAGAGCCATGGCGGGGTGGGGTGGGGTGGGCGTGCCGGGGGCGAGCCTGACACCAAATTTGCTGCAATTTGCATGCGAAATGCTGGTTGCAATAACATAAAATGCCAGACAGACGAGCGTAGCAAATTATTGTTGCTGTGTTGGATCATAAACACGCCATACGCCCATCAATATGTGGCACGCCCCCTCTCCACCCCCCTCCCACACGTGGCCAATCAGGCGCCAGCATTCAAAGCGAAATCAAGGCAAATTGAAGCGAAATTAAAAATGCAAAACATAGCGAAAAGCAGCAACAACAAACAAGATTAAAAAAAAAAATAAAATAAAACACAAATCAAATGAAGAATCAAGAATTGGGTACTGAGAACCGAGTCATTTGTTGGTTTTGATTTCGCGCCCGCGCCAAATGAAGCGCCAAATTAGAAAATAATACAAAATAAAATGGAAAGCAAAGAGAAAAAATGAAAAATATAAAAAACATATTGTGAAACAATTTGTTGTCTTTGTTGTTGCTGTTGTTGTTGTTGCTGCTGCCACTTGAGGCGGAAGTGCGCCTCGCTAACAACAATGCCGCAGAACCTTAGAGGATGCAGCAGCAAAGACAGCCGGATAAAGCAAAGCAAATCGACGGGTGGCTGCGGGGTATTGCAAGGGAGTGGGAGGGGGGGTTGCTTTGGTTTGCTTGAGCTGCCATTGTTATGACTGCTGTAAAACGCTTTTGCGAGGAGATTACAATGTCTGATTACTTTGTTATTAATAAATACAAAAGCGTGCCACACACACCCAAGCACAAAAAACCACACACACACACATGGGGCCGCGGGCAACGGCGCGTATACGCGCTCTCATTATCTGTTCTATGTGGCGCTGTGCATTGTACGCAAAATGTTTATTAATAAACTGTGCCACACACAGAGACACACAGAGACAGCAAGCAGGTACAACAATAGCAACAACTACTGTAGATACAGGTAAATGCAGTTTTGTTGCCAATGTAAATACACAAATAACAAAATGTATTCAATTTCTGAGCCATAAACATGCTGTTTGTGGTTGTTTTTGTTTGTTGTTATTGTTGTTATTGTTGCTGTTGTCGTGGAGCCAAACATTTCTGGAGATATGCGTATTTAATGTAACATTTAATTTGATTTTGCTTTCGCAAACATTTTGCACAATTTAATTGCATTTTAATTGCATTTGCGAAAGTCCGACACTGGGGAATTTGTACAAGTTTCATTTTAATTGAGCGTAAAATTATTAATTTTTTTCTTTTCTTTTTTGTGTGTGTTTTTAATTCAGTTATGTTTGATATTTTTAATGAGGCGTAATTCAATTAAATCAAATGTATTTTCTATGCTGATTTATCGTTAATTCAATTGAAATGAATATTTCGTATTTGATTTATGCCCTATATTGAGTGTGCATTTAATAAGTTTAAGTCTCTTGAATTATATTATTGTTTGCCAATAAATTGGATTATTTTCAGCCAATTAAAACAAATATTTTGCTTGGGCAATTGTTTTGTTTTGGTTTTCATTTAATTTGGTTTTCTCTAATGCATTTTAATTATCTATGAATTGGTTTGTTTGCCTTCAATAATGCCTGCATATTTCTATACTGAATTATTTGCTCTTTTTTGATTTTAATTGAAATTTAATTTTCTCTATTATATATTTATAATCCATGATTTTCATTTCAGTTATATTAAATTGCATTATATTTTCCGCAGTGAATTCGTCTGTTAGTTTTTCATTTTCTATTTAATTATTTTCATTTAGGTTTCTTGATTTTATATTATATACTTTTAATATAGTTTATATGTTGGAATAGTTTATTGATTCTTTGTTTAATTCACTTTTCCACCTTTCTTCTTAAAATCTTTAGTATTTTATTAAAATTTGTTTTATTCCATTTCGTACTCTGTTTTTTTTTAATGTACTCTTAGTTCATTTTAATTTCCTTTTCAATTTCATCAATCTTAATTTATGCAATTAATTACGATTTTCCGTTTTCAATTTATAAATTAATTATTCATTTTACGGCTTAAATTCATTTATAAGCCATTTTCTCGATCAGTTTTTATATTTTTTGGCTTCGAAACTGTTTGCCTAAATATTTTGGCCACTTGCTTGAACATTTGTGTGTATTACAAACTTAACGATTTCTTAAAGTCTTTTCTTTTTTTGATACCTTTTTCAAATGTGCGCCGAAACGATAAGTTTTCACTTGACACAACGTTTTTCTCGATCTCGCTGGGTTTTTCTGCTTGGTTCGCATTCGCATTCGGCCACGTTGAAACCGCAACTGACTTGAATTTTCCGACGCAACGGCCTTTTATGCGCTTTTCCTGTCGGCTTCGTTGAATATTGAAGTGAACACGACGAAGCTTTCCGTTAAAGCTTTTCCGTTTCAATTTCCACATTCAATGCGGGGAACATTCAATGCGCCTCTTACGACTGTTTACAGGTGTTTGTTTTGGCTCCTTGGGTGGGCTGTCGTTAAAGCTACTTTTTTCTTTTTAAATTGGGCTGTTCTTTATACTTTTTGGGTGTTTTTTTTTTTTTGCTTTTGGTTGCGGGTCACTTACCGCAACATTTGTTGGCCGTAATGGCGCTTGGCTGTTGCAGGCAACTGTTGCCACTTGTTGCTTGGCTTTCAACCCGGCCGTAAGCAGGCCAACAAATTGTTAGCCAATTTATAAAGTTTGATTTTCGATTCTTACCACATTTATAAATAATTCAAAAGCAAAAGCATGAAATGGCCATTTATGTTTATGGTTTTTGGCAAGCATATTAAAGCAAGAAGTCAGCTTTTTTAAGCTCGAAGCTTAATACCCTGACAAAAAGTTACTGCCAATAATGCTTTGAGTATTGAAAAGATTAAACTTCGTTTGAGTAGCGCATTGTATAAAGGCTTTTGATAAACTTGGAGACTTAAGAAAATCAGCATATACAAGCAAAGGTGGAAGAGAACAAAAATAATATTGAAATAAAATAGAAAAACAAAAAAGATTAACAGGATCGGTAAAATTATTTAATTATTATTAACTCAATTTCTAACACAATGTTGCCTCAGATATATATAGTATATATATGTCCGATCCGTTTGCTAATAACTCAATTACAAACCTGACAAACTTAACGACAAATTCAAAGCATCCGCTGCCAACGGACGACAAAATATAAAGCGATTGAAAAATTAATGAAACAATTGGAAAATTGTTGCATTATTGACAGAGGGCAGACATAATGCCGAGAACTTCGAACTTGCCTAATCAAAATAAGTGTATGCGGGCGGGGGGAGCGGCAGTAAAAATAAAAAAAAAATAAATAAAAAAAACAATAAAAAGGACTACGATGTGTCAACAAGGCGCACAGGCACACGTCCTGTGACAGCGCCACGATTGCAAAGTGTAGGTAGGGACAACAAACAACAAGACAAATCAATTGTGAAGCCACATGCGAAAGGACAGCAAGGACGACGGAAATGATGAGGCATCAGCAAGGCGGCAAACGCCGCTAAAAAGGATGATGACGATGAGAATGGAGCATGTTGCTGGAAGAGTTTATATACCCTTAGCCAGGGTATTATGATGTTGTCAGGAAATGTGTTACGCAGCAATAAAGTATATATATTCCTGGTCAGTTTTAACAGCCATATTGATATAGACATGTCCGACTGTCTGTCTTTCAGTTTTGAGATTATCATAGCTAGAGCGGAGCTATATATTGTTACTATCTATACAACCTTTGTTCCCTACGCCTCTTGACCTTTCAGCTATAAAAAGCTCCTTAAGAGCAAGCACGTTCGGACTCCTATATTATATGGCTACTATAGCCACAACAAGTCAGAAAGGAATCTCTGCTATATACGCACTTCTGAGCCACATGTCTAGAAGGGTATTTAAATTTCACTATGCCTAAGATAGGCTTCCATATTTATTCTTTTCTTTTCTGTGCGCGGCTTGTCGTGTGGCAAACAGAATGAAAACATTTTTCTAATTTCCTGTCATCAATATCAAATGAAATGTTATAACGCACACATAAATATCCATCCACAGCAGCCCTTGCCTCCGTCCCGAGCTTTAGACAGCCATCTAATTGAGTTGTTGCCATCGCGTGGCAAAATGTGCGAGTGTTGCGTATCAATAGAAAATTCCTTTATTGCAAGCCTTTGCTACTGAGTGCGTGTGCTTGTGTGTTTGTGTGTGTATGGGTGTGTTGTGCGTGTGTAAAAATAAACAACAAATGCCGGGTGAACAAAATTCGACTTAGAAGCGCAGCCGCCTGATCGCGCGATAATGATAGCCATCGTCCAGCAGAGCGGCGGACTCCTCGCTCTCCGGCAGCTCCTCGGCCACCACGGCATTGTCATCGAGTGGCGGCAGATAGGCCTCCACGGGCGCAGCCGTGGGCGTCAGGTCGGGTATGATGTCGGGCGCGGCATAATGATAGCCATCCGCGTGCAGCACGCCGGCAGGCTCCACAATATCTTCGTGCGTTTCGGGCTCCACAGGTGCTTCGGTTTCCACAGCTGCCGGCTGCTCCGTGGTGGGGTTGGTGGGCACAGCCTCTGTTGTAGGCAGCTCTGTGGTGCTAGTTGTTGTGGCTGGTGCTGCCTCGGTTGTTGACTCGCTTAGCTGCTCGAGGGATGCGGGCGGCAGGTACTCATTGCTTAGCTGCAGTGACTCCACAGGTGGCAGATAATCACGAGGTGGCGTCACAACGTGCGGCAAGCTGGCGGCATGCTGCTCCACGGGCGGCAGGTAATCGCGACTAGGCAGCGGCGGCAGCACCACAGGCGGCAAGTACTCCAGCGGCAGGTGTGAGACATCGCGACGCGGCCGCAACGCCGCAGCATCCACGCTGACAGCTGCCACAAGCAACAGCAGCATCAGGCTGAGGTTTGGAGCTTGTGTTTTGCTATTAAACTGCAGACAATTGAAAAGGCGGCTTTGATCTAGCTTTGAACTGGAAATTTCCCTATCTCATAATGGAACTTACCATATTTGTGACTTAAGTTGTGGCTGGGCTTGTGGGGTGTTGCGTTATGCTGTGCGTTTTTGAAATATCTGTGGCTATTTATAAGAAAAATTAGCAAGCGATTGCCAAGAAGCGCCACGTTCGATCCGAACACGAACATCAGCCCTCGAACCGGAATCTTAATTAAACATGCGTTTCGGTTTCATATTTTCTTGTTATTGTTGCTGTTTTTGATTGCATCAAAAACATTTAGCGCGACGACACCTTCCGCATCTGTGTTGCCGCTACTCAAGCTTCATTTTGGATATATCTAAAGCTAAAAGGCTAGAAATTCAGCTTCAAATTTGTGCAAATATAAAATTGTTTTTGCCTCTTGAAATCATTTTTAATTAATATTTCTGCTCTATAGCTCATCTAAATATTTCATTTAGCCATAAAAACAGCTTTTTTGAGACAATATCGCTCTTCTTAGCATGTTTTTAGCTAACCTTTAAACTTGTAACAGATTTTTGTGTGCCAGCTTGGCAACTCTAGCACATTTATAAGCTTTTAGCCACTTTTAGCAATTTTTTAATGACAGTTTAGCAGTTTTAGCTTGTTTTTAGCTAAGTTTTAGATAATGTTAGCCACTTGGAACAGTTTTCTTTAGCCAGTTTAGCTGCCTTGGCATATTAATAGCAAACTTTTAGCTTATTTTGGCCAATTGTAACAAATTTAATGTATAAATATAGCTATTTTCAGCTCTTTTAGCATAGCTAACTAGCGTTGAGAATTTTTAGCCACGTACTATAATTTGTCAATATAGATATCTAAGCACATTTGCAGTTACTTTAGCTAATTTTTAATTAAACTTCTAGCCATTTTTGTGTCAATATAGCTTTTTCTGGCTCTGAAACTGCGGCAACACTGTTCCGCATCGGTCTAGGCGCTATCTTCAGACCTGTTGCAACTGGTTGGAGCCAACTGATCTGTTTGTTTGAGGTTCGTTGGCAGCTCTAATCGGCTCAATGGCATGGTCATTGGCATCTCTATGACTTGATGGGGCACTTCTTGACCGTTGCCAACTGTTTGTCTATTTGTCTTTTGCTCGGTTTGTTTAGTTTGTTTGTTTGCTCGAGCTGAAGAATATTTCGCACTCAATTTAAAAATCTGTCAATATTATACACATATTTTTTTTTTTTCCTCGTTCACATTCTACAAACACAACTTTGAAGACCGTAACTGAAACTGAAACCGAAACGCTTAAGATGAATTCAATGTCCCGCAAACAAATCAATTTCAATGTCAAATGTAATTTTTTTTCTAGCCTTTTTTTTATAATTTAATTTTTGTTTGTCTGCAAGGCCCCATAATTACAAGTTCAAGATGATGCAGCACTTCTTGCATTGTGGGTCAGAACTGGCACGACCCTCTGCCGCGTCTGCCTCGTCTTGCGGCGTCTGCTGCTGCATCATGACGTGGCAATTAAAAACTTATCACACACATGCGGCACGTTGATGCTGGCTAAGCGGCTTAGCGCCAACACCTCATACAAAGAAATATGAAAAACCAAAATCAAAGCTCAAGAAAATTATAGAAATAGTACGAGAGGGTAGAGCGGCGCACAGTTCAGACAATGCACACAGTTTCAATCGAATGCAATAAACCAAGCTAAGCTGTCACAAAATCCGTTTTCCTCATAAAAATATTATTCCTGAATACACCACCTACACCCACACACACACACGCACCCACACACACACGCACACATTTAACTTATATATCTATAAAGCGCCTTTATCTTTGTCTGATTTCCACAATTTTCAGCGTGTGGCAGACAAACAAACGAGCGAGAATAAAAAATAAAACTCCAAAAAGTAAGGCCAAAAAAAGTTTCATAAAAACCCAAATGAAATCAAAAGCATATATACCATTTTTTTTTCAGCGTGCCAATAGCTATCCGAATACCCTACCCCTGCCCCGCCCACCGCCCAACCGCCCACCAATGCTCACATTTCCTGCCGAGCTCACAGCGTACTCAAATTCAATGTAATTTCTTCCTTTTCTACATTTTTTTTTTTTTTGTGCTTCGCCGGATTAGCAAAAATTGAAAACGTTGGCAACACCGAAACCCAAGCTGAATGCCGAACGCTTAATAGAAAATATACAAAAATGTTTAGTTAAGAATTTGAAACAAAATAAGCGGCGCGGCTGATTGATAAAGGACAGGCCAAGGGGGATTGACTGGAACTTTCGATTCCAAATCGAAACGAATTTTAAAATAAATTTCGTGATGGTTGAACGAAAAAATGTTTGCTCAATTGTAACTGTGACCACGCGAACAACAGCAAAAAAAAGCCAAATATATGCGATTGAGAGAGTGAGCGAGAAGGAGGAAGAACGAGAGAGAGAGAGAGCGAGGGGGTTGCACATTGGTATGGGAAACGCACGCCGTTCGCATTGCATCCACTTTGTAGGCAAACAAGGACATGCGAGTCACTAGACAAATTTGCATACGACAAAAAATATATGTATATATATAGTTCCAACTGTTGCCAGACGAATTAAAACAGGCATATTATAGTCGAAAAAAAATCGTAAACCAATCAAGGTATAAAATTGTTGACTTATAATTCTCCTGAAATTCATTAACCGGAGCCGTTACAACTTGTATTTAAGAAGAAAAAATTAATCTTTAAATGTTATTTTGAGATTTTTATACCCTGAACCCATCAAAAATGGGTATAAAGGTATATTGTATTTGTGCAAAATCGAAATGTATGTAACAGGCAGAAGGAAGCTTCTCCGACCCCATAAAGTATATATATTCTTGATCAGCATCAATAGCCGAGTCGATCTAGCCATGTCCGTCTGTCTGTCCGTCCATCCGTTCGTTCGTCAGAACCTCAGAACCTATAAGAGCTAGAGACTTGGATGCAGGTGCTCCTAGTTCCTGCGCAGATCGAGTTTGTTTCCGATAATCGATAACTTACTCCGTTTCCAAACAATCGATAAAAATCGATATCGATATCCTGTTTTTTGGGCAATTTTGGTAAATAATAAGAGCTAGAGTCAAGAAACTTGACATATAGCTTCTAAAATAGAATATATATATATGCATTTGATGTTGGAAGAAGAGGGTTCAGGGTATAGCCTAGTCGGGAGCTCCCGACTAGAAACTCTTAGTTGCTTTTAATTCAAAATAAAAATTAACATTTGTCACAGTGGCAGAGGAGAAGGTATAAATATTTGCAACAGGAATGAATAGTAATAGCCATATATTTTAAGTTATTTTTTATATTTTAATTTATTTATTACATTTATTAGATATTTTTTATTTTCATACTTAACTTATACGCAATGTATTCATAATAAATTAGCGGGTATCCCCGGGACTTGCAAAAAAGTATATAATTCCCAATTCCATAATAAATTGCCTACGTTAAGTTTAAAGCGGAATTCGACAGAATCTGAAGTGATTCACTTGATTTACTTTGATTCATTTCGTTCTGAAAACCATTTCTATTGATTTATTTGATTCATGCACTATATATATTTTTGAGGTAATAATTTCAGTGATACTTGCAACAAATCAAACACTCTGCTACCTTTCAATGCAAACTCAAAATGATTTGTGTGGATGTCAAAGAGTTTCATTTACATGCAGGCCGCGTTCAGTTGCGGCAACTGCAGCACGCGCTCGGTGTGGCAGGTGTGGAAATGTTAGTCAATGGCAAATGTAATCACTTCATAAAATATGCAACAGTTGTGGGGCACAAACAGCCAACAAACAGGCAGCAAATTATACGCAGTTCACGTGACTGTCACTTTAGCACATTACGCTCCAATTACGCGTGGGGCAAGAGGGCGGAGGGCAGACGCAGCAGGACTGTTGTGACAGGGCTTAAATCTGTGGCATGTGCACATGTCTGTGTGTGTGTGTGTGTGTGTGTGTATCGCTTTCTGCATAATAAAATCAGTTGCTACTTGTCGCCCGCCCCGACTATGGCTTTGCCACCCCCCTTCCACAATCCTTTGCAGATCCTTAAGCTGCCACAAAGGGACAGAAAATGCAATGCATATTAAGCAGCGACAGGCACTTGTGTTCAGTTATGCAACAGGCAACGTGCAATATGTTGCAGCAACAGCTGCAGCCCGCACACACACACACACACACATGTGCGTGTGCCGCATTCTGAGCTTAGGCAAAGCAATTTGCGCAACCGGCAAAAGCCAAGTCAAAGCACGCTACCAAAATTTAATTACAACTTGAAGGCTTTCGCTTTGCGTAAACCCAACTCCCAAAAAAAAAAACGGAGAGCGAACATTGCAAACGGCTGCAACCGATGCGAAAATACTCTGTTCGAAGTAGAATAAAATGCTAAAGGATTCTCCTTAATGATTGGGATATCATGGCCGATTTATGACGAATCGAACCATGTCCCCAAATGAAGGATCCGTTAAGCTGCTTTTTGATCAACTGATTTGATTCAAAGTTCGACTTATAACCAAAACTACGCGTTAAGAGGATGTTCGAGCTCGAACCTGTTCGATTCCAAACTCAGTTGCAACCCAGAATTGTAGATGAATATACTTAACAAATAGACTCCTATTAACTTTGCAAGCAGCGCATGAAAAGGGACTAAAGCTATTCGCGTTCGGGATTATTTATTATATTTCAGTTGCTGCTGATTTGCCGCGTTTCCCTTTCTGGGAAGCCTTCGTCCATTGTCAAAGTCAATTTAATTGTCTCAATTACGCGCTAAACGCTGTCGACAACTTTCAACGCGTTGACCGTAAGACCGAACAGTAGGTAAGCCCAAATCAAGCCAAGGTCAGCGGGCGTGGAAGACAAATGAGCGAGGCGGTGGAGCGACTGGCCGACATTCCTGGCGCGGGGCGACTTAATAATCAAGTGACTTGCTTAAAAGTTAACACAATTTTGTGGCAACTTCAAAAGTCTGCCACAACTCTTTGGGACGCGCTACTGTTGGCCGCAGCGCCCCACTTCGGCGCCAACTGGAGCCCCACCTCGGGCATTGTTGTTGGCGCCGAGGCACATTTTCACGCACAGTTGAATGCACTTTTGTGCGCTCGTCAAGACAAAAAACATCTTGAGAGAATTAGGAACATTTTTGGCGTAAAGCGGCGTGAAAATGCGCAGGTGTTACGGCTCGCAGACTTTGTGGCACCCTGTGCATACAGGGTGGCATGGCCCACAATATTTATGACTACGTCGCAACTTTAGTTGAACTTCGAAATTGGGCGCATTAGCTGCTCTGTGATATGCGGCGTATACGCAATTTACTCGCGGAATAATTAAAAAGCGACACACACACAGGCGCACACAATACGTATACGCTGTCATTTTAATAATTTTACAGTTATTTGAGCATTATTTTCAGCGACAAATAATGAAAAGGAACAGCTGTCTCTGACACAACGAAGACTAAATACCCTTGTTGAGGTTTCTTTTCGATCGAGTGTTCCCATAGATATAGTACACCGATTTGATAGGGCCTTATAGATAAATATAAATATAAGTTAAAGGTCTGAAGACGTCTGCCTGATAAAATAGTATCACCCTCTACAAGGGCATAAAATAGGCGTTCTAGCCCAAAACTGAGCAACACATGTAAATTTTTCATAATCAGCAGCTGGGCTTAAGGGATGGTGTGGCAAGGGCTAGGGGAATGTGGTTTGACGGTGGCCGTCAACAAAATGTTCTGTTCAGCAAATAGAGGAAATTGTACAAATATTGAACGGATATAGCCTGCGGCTTTGCTACCCTATTGGCACGAGCTGACAGCAGGCGGAAGAGGTTGCGAGGGCGATCGTGCCCAAAAACCGCGGGGATTGATTCAACAGGCAGGCGGACAAAGGGCTCGGTGTGTGTGAGTGTGTGAGTGTGTGTGTGTGCGTGAATATGCTATGAGCGTGTGTTTGTATAGTGTATATGTGATTATGTATGTGTGAGCGCTTGGCCACAAAACTTGCTCATTTTACTCCTTTAAGCTGCTAAAGCTACGGTGAGGGTCGAATGTGCGTGCATGTGTGTGTGTGCCTGTGTGTGTTTGAGTGTGTAATGTGTGTTAATGCTAACGGTTGACGTTTATAATTTTACACCAAAACTAATTATATTAACATGAGAGGTAGCCGCGTTCAACAGAATCAGTTTATGTAATGCATATGTAAGTACGCTCAGCGTGTGTGTGTGTGTATTGTGTTTTGTGCATGTGTGTGCGTTCTGTGTGCGTGTGTGATTGCTCTTTTGCTGCTATATAATAACAACAATGGCACTTGGATTGTAATTTCCAATTAAGCTCAATTTAATGCGCAGCGAGGCGAACAACAAGCACAAAGAACTGAAACTGAAATTGGACTCAAACATGAATCCTGGCGGAATTGTGAACAGGAACAGGACATAACACAACACAAGGGCAACAGCAACGGCAACTAGAAGACAACAATTGCCAGCCAATGGCCATTTATCTATAGTATACAAGTATTTATTGTATTGTTTTGTTTGAGTGTGGCAAAAGTTAATTAAATAGCTAGAAACGAGCACAAAAATAGCTGAAGGTTGAAAAATGGGACATCAGGAAGCTGTGGCAGGACTGACCTTGTTACTGACAACAATTGAATTTAATAGGTTTAAATAATGCAATTTGTATTCTAGTGAGTAAAAAGGTGCATCCTGAGACACCCTGTGTCCCTTATTTGCGTAGTTTTTAAGCTGAGGCACCCTGTATGCTGTCAGCATGCACCCTGTTGCTGATATGCCGTACAATTGATCTTAATAAGTGTAACCCTGCAACCCTGGTCATTACTTGTGTAGTTTTTCAACTGAATCACCCTGTGTACAGTCAGCATACACCCTGTGGTAGCCATTACACTTAGACACCCTGTATATATACGGAATTCTTTCTTTCATGAAAGTTTTACCATTCAACAGAATAGTCACAAAGTGTGCATTTGAGCTATTCTAGTCAGGCCGAAGCACCCTGTACGATTGCTATGCTGGTCCTTTGTGTGCGCTGTAACCAGCCTGTAGCCACGCCTTTATCAAAAACAACGAGCAGTAAGTACAGCAGTAAGTAAAACACCCTGTGTTGCTCTCTGTAACAATCCTGTAGGCACCCTGTGACCAACCAGCAGGCACCCCGTACTCTGGCTGAAAGCACCATAATCAGAAAAGAAATAAAAATAACTTTAAAACGTAATCCGATTGTAATTGAAGCCAGGCCGCAAAACGGGCACACCCTGTTTTTAAGTGAACACCCTGTAGGCAGCTATTTATAAGCATACATCAGTTTGCAAACTAATTAAATCGACAACTGCTGCTTGGATACAATTTTAATTGAAAGCCATTTGGCTACTAACAACTGTAACAACAAACACACCGATAGACAAACAAATAAACAGGAGTCATTCTCAAGAGTGTTCGCCGAATATCCTGTGTGTTTGCACTCGGTGTCCTTCTCAAATTGAATTCGAGTCAACGCCACACGAAACTCATTTAAGCGCCAAGACTTTTGTTGTTGCCTTCGTGCTGTTGTAGCTGCAGTGGAACAATTATTTCATATTAAGTATTAAAAAGTTGCCACACGACAGCACAAAAAAGTGACCTAGTTGAAGGTGCCGGACTACGAAATACCCTACACCTCCCAGCAAGTGTAACAAAATATAATAAATAAATAATAAATATAATATAATATAAAAGAAATATACATAAGCGGCAATTTTAAGAACTTTCCATAACGTAAAAATATTGTCCCGAATCATGGCAAAAATCGACTCAGCTCCTCCTACAGAACGAGCATATATATATATATACTTAGCTTTACTCGTGCATTTATACATTTAAAAAGCACATTATGCATTTGAAAAAAACTTTTCAGCTACAGGGTATAAAAAACGAAAACAAATGGCGAATAATTAAAAGTAATTGAAGATGAAAAAAACTGAAATTCGAGACGAATGTGATGCTTCGCCCAGCCCAGGCCCAGGCCGCAACGAATCCGATTTTCAAAATGGAAACCTAATTAAGGAGCATAAATCGTTAGAGTTCCCCTGAGATATCTGCCGCTCTTCGCATTGTGTCTAATTGAAATGGAGTCATTAGCCTGTCTGTGTGCTATCCAATGAACCCGCAAACGTAAGAAAATAAAACTTTGTGCTGCAGCTGCAACTTGACAAGAAATTTAAATGTAAATTAAATAGCCACAGACTCGCTCGGCGCCAGGCGAATTGCCGGGCCAGCGCAAACAGGACAACACAGGACACGCAGCCAAACAAATAAACAGACAAACAAACAAACAAAACAAAACCGTCTGACGAAACGGCGAAGCAAACAAAAATCAAATTGTTATTGTTGCTGCCGCAGCTGCTGTTGCTGTTGTTGCTTCATGTTGACTTTGGTTGTGCTGCGACTTTCTTTGATTCCCGTTCGGGTTTTATTTTTTATTTGTTTCCATTTTCATTTGCTGCGGCAGCTTCTTACAAGCTGCAACATGGGCGAAAAACGCGCTGCAAGGTGTCTGGGGAAATTAACAGTGCCTCAGGTGCGACACCCCCCCCCCCTCCCCTCCCCCCTCTGGCATATGCTACATGTTACCTGATTTTTAATGAAATATGACTTTCTTTGGACCGCAGCCCCTTCACCCGTGCCCCCTCACAAACCCCAGTCAGCCATCAAAGTCAGCCGCAATGTGAATATTGCGCATACGCAACGTTGAGCAGCTCGAAGCCAGGCTACGAATTTGGCAGACTTCGAGTTAATTATTACAACCGACTGCGCAGCTAATTGGACTAATATTTAAGGCAAAGGCAAAAAAGGGATAACCCTCCTTGAGGCCAAATCTTTTGTGCGCGCAGCTCATGATGTTTACTCGCTCACATCGAGGCATTGACTATAAATAGATTTTTGTAAGTACCTTATGTTAATATTGTTCATACAAATTACAGGTAATTATACACGGGAAATTCAATACTGTGCCGCGTGTCCTGCTGTTATAATTGCTAAGCTTCGATTTTTGTTTTTTTCTTTCGACTAACACGCATTTTCTGGCTGCGTGAATTCAAATTGAATTTTAAACATGCATAGACAACAGCACCTGCGCTCTAGGGAATGAGCGCTCAGATGGGAGACTACATTTGGCAGGTGTTTTCCTGCCTTTGGAAGCCTAAGCACTGTTATCGATTTTCTGGCACTAGGACTCGTTGCGTCTCTTTAAAGTTTATAAATATTTATGGTCATCTTTTTGGCAGCTCGCTTTTCATTCGAATGTTTGCTTCTAACAGCTTAATATGTGTTTATGCTTCGTCAATGGGAGGAAGGGGGCGAATTTGGGCAGGGACATGCATTATAGACGTTGTGGCTGACATGAAATTGCTGGAAATGACAGTTTTCGCTCAACTCTCAGTTGCAATAACATTTATTGCTTAAATATAAATACATACGTCAGTAAATGTGCACTTACCCGGAGAATTCATATGTGAATATATAAACTTGTCACTCAAAGTACATAAATAGAAAACTGATGAGAGTAAAATCTGGAAAGAGATGGATTAAGAATATAAGCAGAGATAAATTTAGCTAGATATCAGCCACAGCTTGTTAATGTTATATTTATAAACAAAGCACGAAAGCCTGAAAGGCTTACTTGAATTTATGAGAATTGCATAGAAGGGCTCTTGAATTTGCATCGCAGCAGGAGGTAAAATGTGTTATATTATTATAATCACTCTACAAGGGTATAACAAGAATGTGAATGAGTTTCAAGTCATCTTTCAAACACCTCCTACTGCCTTACAGATGTGAATCAAAAGCTATGACAATTTTTATAAATCTCCTTAGTAATTCCTTGACTTTTATTTGAAAAATTACAAAAAAAAAGCGAAAGAGCGAGTGTCAGAGAGAGGGAACCGGCACAGTTTCCGCATCAACGACATTTTTACTTTGCCAATCATATTTTTCGCCCCATATATATAATTTTTATTTTTACTGACAGCCACTCAAAGCGCCGCAAGGCGGGAAATGTTCATGGATTTATGTCTTATGATGTCAATCTAATATTATCATTGCCCATTCCAGCAGCTCATCAATTTTTCAATAGCTCTGTCAGCCGAAAAGTGACTTTTGCCACATTAGCTGTCCGTCTTGTTTATGAGGCGTGTTAACAAGCCGTAGCTTAATTATGCCACCCATGTGATTTGAAGCTCGGTTCAGTGCATTTAAATGTAGCTGTCAACTCTGACAGTCACTTTGTGGGCTGACTAAATTTATAGTCCAATTAATAGGCAGCAGCAGGAGTGCGGCTGTAGTCTACTCTGCGTATGCGCAATAAATTGATTGATGGCAAATGCGTGTCCTTGTCGCAGCAATTTGTTAGCCCAAAAAGGATTCTCATGTTATGTAAACGCTTTACAGCAGCTGTAAAGAAGCAATTTAAAATTTCGTAAATAGATTTGGCGAATCGATATCGAGACGCAGCCCCTTTTTTTTGCTGACCTGCTGCTCCTTTTTTGCTGCCTATTTAAAATATATAAATATTTTAACCTAATAAATGCGGCATCAAGCCGACTGGCGCCGGCGGCTGCTATCTACAACTCGGACAAGTGCTGAACACACACACAAGCATCGACATTTGCATAAACCGTGCCAGGACCTGGCCTCAGTCACGGCCCAGGGTTTGTTTTGTTTGCCAGCTGCCCTTTTCCTACTGGCGCGCAAACATTTTTAACTTGTGCTCCGCCCGCGGCCAGGCACCAGCTCAGTTTGTTAAAGAGTTTCCCAGCAGCAGCGGCAGCAGCTCAGGTTAACTTTACAGTCGGCTAATGGTCGATGAGCCGCTGGGAGCTCCTTTAAGCTGTTGCCTTTTATCGCAACAACTACACAAAAGCAGTCAGCCACAAACTGTGGCACATGTAAATTGAACCTCAACAGAGAGAGAGAGACAGAGCGAGAGAGAGGGGGAAATTGCCAAGATAGACATAAAAATCGCTTTTAAATAAAATCACAAGTCAAGAGCCGCACAAAAATCAATGAGGCACACACAATTTATAGCACAACAGATTCGCTTATTCTTGTTGTTGTCGCTATACCCTGTAGGAAGGGAAAGTGGGCAGGAGAGACTATTGAAAAGTTGAGCTATTGTAAGTTACAGACAGAAGAAGAGGAAAAAGAAACTGACAAGGATCAAAGCTAACTTCAGAAGAAGAAGTAGATGTAGAAGGAACATTACGTGGTGGATAAATATTCTAGGGAAAAGCAGAAGAAGTAGACGTAAAATAGAAATAGAATTAAAAGGAGAGTAGAACAAAAAAGTTGAAGGATTATGATTAGAAGAAGAACAGGAATAAACAGTTGATGTAGAGTAAAGTAGTATAGAAAGAAGACGCAGAGGAGTTAGAAGGAAATAGAAGAAAAAGGAAAGATGCATAGAAGTAGAAAGAGAAAATACAACAAGAGATGAAGTAGAAGAAGACCCTTCTTAAAAGAAGAAGTTGGTCTAGAAGTATAAGAGTAATCTTCATTTAATTAAAGTTAATAGAAGGTCGCAAAACAAGTCAAATTAGATGGAGCAGAAAGAGTAGAAGAAAATGCGAAAAATTTAGAAGTAGAAGTAGAAATTTAAGCAGCAGGACAGTTAGAATGAGCATATGAAAGGAATAGTTCCAGAAGGAAGAAGCATAGAAAGAAGCAGTAGAAAGAAACTAAAAGAAGTAGTAAAGTTACATAGAAGTAGCAGGAGAAAATACAAAAAGAGATGAAGTAGAGTCTTAGAGTATGTTCCCAATTCACCTAATAATCGCTTACAAGGATAATATATCCTGCGAAAGTCAACTCAAAAACCGAAAAAAGGGATATATAAGTATTTTATACAAGTATTTAATACAATTAACAGGTATTTGTCTTGTCGTTCATTCCTAGTGTTAAGCTTTGCCGCTTATTTTTTGTGTGTATCTAGGCATATAAATTATGCCCGCCCCCAACAGGCTCTCGTCTCACACACAATCAAACACACGCAAACCTGGGCACATAAAATATTGCAGATGAGTGCCTTTTAGGCAAGACCAGCAAATGAAATGAGCAAAAATGTGCTCTACGACTTTGCCAGCAACAAGTCGGAGAAAGGAAAAATTCTATAGTCGACTTTTAGGCGAATGAAAAGTTGTTGCTGCCCCTTAAACGGGAATGATTTACTCGCCAACTACGTGGAAGCAGGCAAAGCTGTTTGCGAGTCTTTTAAGAAGTTTATAGATCTGTATATTTTTATTAAGCTGGCCGGGATTTTGTACAGCTTTTCACTTTCCCAGTGCGTTGACAGCTCATTTGCATGCATTCGCATTTAAAAATTAAAAATAAAAAAAAAAGACAAATTGCAGCTGCCACGCCCACAGCCCACCGTCCATATGCCACACAATTGTTCAATCAGTTCATTAACAATTCAATAAAAGCCGCAACAAGCTGTGAAATATCCATAGTTCGCTTCTTTTTTTTATACCCTGAACCCATTGAAAATGGGTATAAGGGTATATTGTATTTGAGCAAAATCCAAATGTATGTAACAGGCAGAAGGAAGCATCTCCGACCCCATAAAGTATATATATATTCTTGATCAGCATCAATAGCCGAGTCGATCTAGCCATATCCGTCTGTCTGTCCGTCCGTCGGTCCGTCCGTCCGTCCGTCCGTATGTATGAACGCAAGGATCTCAGAACCTATAAGAGCTAGACACTTTTAGATGAAGATGCTCCTAGTGCCAGATCGAGTTTGTTTCCGATAATCGATAACTTACTCCGTTTCCAAGCAATCGATAAAAATCTATATCGATATCCTATTTTTTGGGCAATTTTGGTAAATAATAAGAGCTAGAGTCAAGAAACTTGACATATAGCTTCTAAAATAGAATATATATATATGCATTTGATGTTGGAAGAAGAGGGTTCAGGGTATAGCCTAGTCGGGAGCTCCCGACTAGAACCTCTTACTTGTTTTTTTTTTTTAACTTTTTGCATGCAAATTGTAATTTAAAAAAATACATATGTATGAGTGTGTGTGCGTGTGTGCTTATCTGTGTTTGGGTTTAATTATATTTATGATTATTTAATGAGTTTTGGCTGGAATTTAAATTCAGATTTCGCCAACAGCCAGTCGGCAACAGCCGTTTTATTTGGGCAAGCGCCTGCCATGATATATTTTAATCAATAAATAATTTCCGCAACAAGTCTCTGATTGCATTTTGATAGCTGCCCGGGCAGAGGGGACACGACAGCAAACGGATTCGCAATGCATATTTAATATATTATAATTTGTTTACATTACAAATGAGCCAGCTGCTGGCAGGGCGTGAGGGAGTAGGAGAGGAGGGGGAGGGGGGGCCCACTTCAGTTTTATGGAGCTCTTGAGGCAATAGCCCCAAATGCGAGGCCTATAAATAAGCGTAGTACTTCCGCAGTACTTCAACTGACAGCAAATTAACACCTCAAAATAAGGTGAACTACTTAAGGCTAAAAGTAAAAAAGAAGCTAAATGGAATGGACAAAATAAGCCCGACTGTTAGATGCTGTGTAAATTTGAATTTATAGCCACACTCTTATACTCTTAACACCAACTTGAGTGGCATGCTCAAGAGTTGTAGCGACTGCAAGATACTCTATTTGTACTAAGCAACTCATATTACACAGGCAGAAAATAAGATAAGGAATATATCTTAAAGTAGCAGCGACTGGCAGCTGCTCTGTTTTATAGAACTACCTGAAAGTATTAGGCAAAATAAGAAGAAGGCAAAAATAAAGAACCAAATACTAGAGTCCATTGTCCAAAGATACCCTGCTTAAGCTTATAATTCGAGTCAAAAATGTGTGTGACAGGCATCCCAATATACCCTAAACGCCTCTAATTACAGCGTATCAGCGACTAGAAAGGTCAAGCGCAACGACGTGTGCCACTTGACATTGCAGGCATTAAAAAAAGAAAACTAAAGCAAGCCAAAGGCCGAAGCACAATTGGAAGATTTAAAGCGACCTGGACACTTTGGAGTTGAAGATGAATCTCAAGCTGAAGACCTGACCACGCAGCGCCGAGACTCAAGTGGCACTCGAAAGCACCCAGAGCAACAATAACAAAGAGCGTCAAAAGACGCTTTTTTTTTCAAAATAAAAAAAAAAATATATATATATATATATTTGAAGATTTTTAATTAAGTTGAAGCGAAGCGAACTCAGCTGAACCGAAGCTGGAGGCTGCAACTGGAGCTGACCGGAGCTGAGCCAAAGGCCAACAAGGCTGAAGTGCGTCAAAGTTTTTGCTATAAATTCGGCGGTTCGCTAGAGCAAAGCCATCAAACAGCCCGAGCAACTTTTAATTGCCAGACGCCGTTAACCCAAATCCGTGAAGGAAAACGAAAAAAAAAATGGTTAGAAAAACGAATTGACGACAGGCATATAGGATTACTTGTAACCCTTTTAACATTTTCATTTGTTTTCGCTCTTCGTGGCTTAAATTTCGCAGAAACTCTTCTCGCTCAGCAGTGTGCTCACCCTGTCCGCTGTGGCCAGCGCCGCCTTGGCCGCACCTCAAGGCACCTCCGAGCTGGTGGATGCCGCTGCCATGGAGTACGTGCCGCCGGCAACGGAGTATCTGCCTGCCACCGACGAGCAAGGCTACGAGTATCGCGCCGTGCGCCGCCTAAAGCTGCGTCATCGCAATCGTCGGGATGTGTCCCACTTGCCACTGGCTCCACAGTATCTGCCGCCGCCAAGCAACAGGTATCTGCCACCAACAGCGGCTGCCCCAAATCCAGCTGCAGTCTTGGCTGACGACACCGAGGCGATTGTCTCCGCTGCGGAGCCAAAGGTGGCACGCGAGTATCTGCCGCCTGCTGAGGAGCCGGTGGCCAGCACCGAGGCGCCCGTGCCGGAAACCGATGCGCCACCAGCCGAGGAGCAGCCCGTGCAGCCCGATGTGCGTGTGGCGGATGTGCCCACAGCTGAGCTGCGCGACGACGGCTATCACTACAAGCAGCCCGTGGAGATGCCCGCCGAGCTGAAGGAATCAGCCCAGGCGTATTTGCCGCCGCTGGGCGATGATGTCGTCGCCGATGGACCTGCCAATGGCGAGAGCTCGGTCCTCACCAAGGATGGCTATCAATATCGCGCCATTCGCCGTTACAGATTTTAGATTTTCTTCTTGAACGCAAATTTTTCATTTGATTTTCATTTTGTTTTCGAATTCTTGTTAATGTTTTTCTTTGAATAAAGCGAATCTTTTATTGCAATTATCAACTCCTTATAAAAGCTATTGAAGAAGCTGAAGATACCAGATAAACTATATCTGACATAATTTTGACTATCCCGTCTGTCTATAGGCTCTAAGCAGTACATTTGCCGGAACCGACTGGATCGGATCGCTATATCATACAGTTTTTGCATCAACAACTCTCCTTTATCCAGATCTGTAGACCAAGCCTAACATTTAGCTATTTTTCTAAATATGAGCGAATATTACATGTCTTTATAGAAAGAAACGATCGAATAATGAGATTTTGTATGGCAATCTATTTTCCAAGATATTTTTCACCAAACTCTGCATTTACAAGCTTCACTATTCTCACATATTTACAAAACTGTACGACAAGGGTGTGCTAAATATATTCATACTTTCTTGTTTCAAATTTTGAGTGTTAAAATATAAACGTAAGATGGAGTTTAAAAAAGCTTTAAATTAACTCTAATGTGGGCATCAACAACTCTTTTCTGTAATACTCTGTCAAAAATTACAGCATATCATAAACCAAAATCGATGCAGGCAAAAACCTAAAATCAAGCGCTATCAAGAGACTCCCACACAAGTTTATTTATGCGCGTATGTTTGCTGCCATTATCAAACATAATTTATTTATGATACACGCAGCTCAGCGAGTGGTTTTGGCTTTTATGTTAACCCCTTTCTATGCCACGCACACACAACTAAAGCATTTAGCACGTTGCGTATACGCACTGTGCCCTCTGCGCCGTGCTGTTTAATGCGCACAGTGCCCCGCCCACTTGTTGATTAGTTTGAGTTTTGCGAGGCAACGAGCTGAGGAAATTAGTGTCAATAAAAAGGTTCTTTATTACAGCACCAATTAGCGCAAATTATGTACAATTTTCTATGCAGCTAAATCTGCAGCAATACGATATGAAAATCATGACGAGCGTTTGCTGTTCTTTGATATATCTATGTATTTATGTATTTATGTATGTGTGTGTGTGTGAGTGTGTGTATGTATTTGTGTATGTATTTGCCTGCCGACTTACTGGCTATTCATGGCAATGCGTTGCCAAAGCGACCTTTAAGGCTTAATTAATGCACTTGCGCGATAATTCGACTCAACAGCAGCAACAGCAGCAACAACAACAGCAACAACAACAACGACAACAACATGAAACATTAAGTGCACACTCAAGATAAATTACTTTGGCTTATTGCTGCTGCTTCTGTTTCCGCTGCTGCCTCTGCTTCTGCTGCTGCAGCTGCGGCCAGGATAAATCGGCAAGCAATCGCAGATAATGGCAAGCTTAACAGCATTCTGACATTTTTTCCACGCAGTGAAGCAATTTTTAATTATTAAATCAATTGCATGAAATTAAATTAAATTTGCTCCAAAGACACATTTTTTCAATCCAAAGTTCGTATCGCACAATTTGTGTTGATAAAGGCCGTGTTATTTGTGTCCAACTAAGCGAATCAGATATAAAGAGTCAATTATTTTGGGGCTAACTGCGAGGGACTGGGTTTGCGGTCGAAGAGTGTCTCTGACAGCCCGCTTATTGCATATTAAAATGCGTATATCGCAAAATGTCAGACAACAGCTGAAATCAAAGCAACAGAGTCAAACATTTCAGCACTAGCCGGAAGGACATTTGCTAAAGGGACCACAATATGCTTAGCTGTGTGTGTTAGTGACTGTCATATAAAAATAGAATTTAATAACATATTTGCACAACGAAATGTCAACATATTTATGATATTTTTAAATTTTCACAAATTTATATCAATTTACGGCTAAAATTGGCAAATGCAAAACCCGCAACAAATATTTGCGCAAAGACTCGCATTTCGATTCAGTTCATAAACTGGTTCATGAGCGCTGGTTCCGTTTTGAGGCCAATTTTAAATGAAATCACTTTGTTTTTGCCTCAAATTTACACAATTTCATTTATCGTTAACACTTTGTCAGAGAGTGAAAAAGAATAGCGCAATATTACAACGAGATATTCAAGTTTCGGTTCGGTATTAAATTCGCTTGTTCTTTCATCGGCAGCTGATAAAATTCCAGGATTTATAATAAAGAAAATTGTAACTGTAATACAAAAGGCATGCGATTGAGTATTCATTTACCAGAGTTTTTTTTTTTTGGGAAAATTCAACGTTTGGCTTTCTTTGACAGCTCTGTCTGAAAAGTTATTAAACTTTTGCATATTTATGAATTTAATTTCTGCATAACAGGCGCCTGTCACAAATACGAGCAGCACACACACACACACACACACGCACACACACACACATTTTAAAATGAGCAAAAATTACTGCATGCGTTATACGAGTGTGTGTGTGTATGTGTGTGTGTGTGTTTGTGGTTCTTTTAGTGTGTGGGTGTACATGTGCTCGTTATTCCTCGCATGCTTCCAGCTCGTATTTGCTCGTATTTGTATACCCTAACAAAGGGAAATAAAGAAGTTTTTGTAATCAACTTTTGCTTGAGGAAAAAAGACCAAGCGAAGTTCTTAAATCATGCCCCTTAATCCGTCTGGTCTCTAGGCTAACTCGACTCTCTAAGAAGCTATCTTAGTCAAACTGGTTTCGGAAGATTTTTATGTGCTGTGTGCGCTACATTTGTCGAAAAAAACCGGATAACTCTTATCACTTATCAAGTACTCTTATCACATGTTTAACTGATTACAAATGAAAATAGACAGCAGAGAGGATAGACAGCTTTGGAGAGAGTGTGCCTGTAATTTTGAGGCACTTTCAAGCTTTTATTTTGTTTTTTACTTGCAACGTTGTTTTCGATATATCTTGCTGCTCGTTTATCGATTGTTATCGAAGATGCATTCCAACAATTTAATCGAATCGAAAAATATAACAAAGAAATAGTCGTAAGGAAAGTCGCTGACTCCCTCTATATCTTTCTCTTTCTGTCTCATCCTCTCTCTCTCTCTAACGCTTTCTCGCTCTCTCTCTCTCTCTTTCTCTCTCTCTCTCTCTCTTTCTCTTCCTCTCCCTCTCTCCCTCTCTCTCTTTCTCTCTCCCCCTCTCTCTCTCTCTCTCTCTCTCTCTCTCTCTCTCTCTCTCTCTCTCTCTCTGTCTCTTTCTTTCCTTTAACTTTTATTTGTCTCCCTCAATCTCCCTCTCTCCCTCTAATACTCTGGTTAAGCCAAATTGTCTTATACACGAATAGGTATGCCTTCGAAAGGGTATCTCAGCATTCGTCCAGGCCAAGCCAAATTAACTTTTTTTCATTTGTGTGTTGCTCTTTATGTGCTGCCACTCGAGGTGGCTTTAGAGCTCTATAAGCCATATAGTATATGGCTGGTACAAGCTTTGTGCTTCAAAATGCGTTTACGAGACACTTGAGCGTCGCCTTTGATGGCTGCTGTCCTTTAATCAGTGGCATGCATCCGAGTTCTTTGCAACTCTCAATGCATGGCCGCATGTGCTGGATTTGGCAGGATCTCTCTTCTGACTGCCTGACTGCCTGCTAATTGTGCGCTAAAAATAGCAGCCAAATATACAAAAAAAAACATAAAACATTAAACATAAAAGTTCGTCCCCACCACGGCAAGTTTACTTTCCATTTTGGTGCACAAAATGTCAACATTAAGCGGCTTAAAATGTTCAATTATGACAGAGTGCAAGGATCATGTGGGGCTAGAAATAAAATGCTGCAAATGCCATGGATTTAAATGAAATAAAAAGCAACAAAAACTGTTTGACAAACAAGTTTTGTCAAATCAAGCCTGTATTTACAATACATTTTTGAATGTATACCAAAAACAAACTGCTGTAAACAAAATCCAAACCAAATCGAAAAACAAAGAGGGTTTGCTTGAGAGATACACAAAAATTCTATACTAACAGATATACCACGGCCTCAAAGATATGTATTACATGTACATGTACGTGTATTCATTAAGTAAAGATTTCAAAAAGGTTTAAAACATATCGGACATAAGCGAAAAACAATAATAATGTTGCCAGATTTAGAGAATTCTAGAGGCCAAATCATCAATCATCCCAGATTTAAATGCAAAATTAATCTAGAGGCCAAACCATGAAGAAAAAACCAAACCTCGTGAAAATCGGTTGAGTTTTGACCGAGTTATGGGGGTAGGACATTTTGACCTATGTCTACATAGGATATTTGAGGGTCTCATTTTTACATGAATTTCGACCAAAAATTATGTTCCCAGATTTAAATGCAAAGTTGATCTAGAGGCCAAACCATGAAGAAAAAACCAAACCTCGTGAAAATCGGTTGAGTTTTGACCGAGTTATGGGGGTGGGAAATTCTGACCTATGTCTACATAGGATATTTGAGGGTCTCATTTTTACATGAATTTCTACCAAAAAATATGTTCCCAGATTTAAATGCAAAATTAATCTAGAGGCCAAACCATGAAGAAAAAACCAAACCTCGTGAAAATCGATTGAGTTTTGACCGAGTTATGGGGGTGGGAAATTCTGACCTATGTCTACATAGGATATTTGAGGGTCTCATTTTTACATGAATTTCGACCAAAAATTATGTTCCCAGATTTAAATGCAAAGTTGATCTAGAGGCCAAACCATGAAGAAAAAACCAAACCTCGTGAAAATCGGTTGAGTTTTGACCGAGTTATGGGGGTGGGAAATTCTGACCTATGTCTACATAGGATATTTGAGGGTCTCATTTTTACATGAATTTCGACCAAAAAATATGTTCCCAGATTTAAATGCAAAATTAATCTAGAGGCCAAACCATGAAGAAAAAACCAAACCTCGTGAAAATCGGTTGAGTTTTGACCGAGTTATGAGGTGGAAAATTTTGACCTATGTCAACATAGGATTTTAGAGGGTAATAATTTACATGAATTTCGACCAAAAAATATGTTCCCAGATTTAAATGCAAAGTTGATCTAGGGGCCAAACCATGAAGA